CACGCGCCGAGCCTGGGGGCTTGCACACCTCCGAGCAGGGAGCCCGTGGGAGCCGCCCGACTGGGCCTTCCAGGCACTGAGCCGGGGCAGCTGCCCGGTGCAGGATTCCCCGCAGGGAGAGGGGAGGGAGGGGGGACTTCTAATTGTCAAGTTCCTGAGCTCCCTGAAAACACTTATTCAATCCAGGAAACAGAAAGCAAACACTCACAACCATGGGCGATAAATAAAAAAGGTTTGGGATCCGAAAACCTTGTCCGTATTCGTCACGAGTGCTGGTTGGTTTGAGCAAAAGCACGTTTAGTTACGGAGACCCAGGGGGAGGCGCCGGTGCAGGTGGGAAGAGGGCTCGCGAGCGTCTCAGGGGCTCTCCTGGGTGAACTTCCCTTCCCGTGGTCTGGTTTCCCTCTTTCCCGACACAGGTGTACCCAGGAGAACACCCTCTCACGTCTGCTTTTTTACCAGGGGACGAGGAAGGCATGAGCCTTTGCCACTCCCCCGTGGTTCCGGTCATTCTGGACGCCCCCCCCCCCACAGGGAAGGAGAGGAGTCGCAGCAGGAGGTGGTCTGTCAGCACCTGGGCCAGAGGCGGCAGGGGGGAGGCGGGGCCTGCAGAGAACAAGACCCACTGGAGAGAGGAGGTGAGACAGCCGTGCTCTGTTCACTCCCCTCCCCGCCCCCCGTCTGTCACAGCCATGAGATGCTCACAGGCTGTGTGGAGCCCTCGACCTTTTGGTGTTTAGGGACAGCAACCAAGCTAAGCCAAGGTCAAGGTTCCTCTGCCGGCTGCTGAAGGCCCAGCTCTGTATCATCTTCTCTTTAACGTTTGAAAAAGAGTCACATTTGAATCAGCACTAAGCCTGTACATCGGTTTGACCTTTCCATCTGTACATTAGACACAGGGCATCCGACACAGGGCATGTCTTTCTTTGTTAAGGTCCTCTCTTGCATCTCTTAGGGAAAAAAATCTAATTTTCTTCACAAGGAAAACGCTGTGTTCTGGGCTAATTTATGTAACTCAGAGTTACCCATGCCTCAAAACGCTCAATGACTCCCCTCTCCCCCCAGTAAAACCATCTGGACTCAGAACTTTGGGGGGCAATGTTTTTGATAGCTTTCTTTTTTTTGTTTTTGTTTTGTTTTGTTTTGTCTAAAGAGAGGGAGAGAAACATCAATGTGTGGCTGCCTCTCATGTGCTCCAAGCTGGGGACCTGCCCAGCAGCCCAGGCATGTGCCCCGACTGGGAATCAAACCGGCAACCCTTTGGTTTGCAGGCTGGCATTCAATCCACTGAGCCACACCAGCCAGGGCTGATAGCTTTCTTAAATCCTTCTCCTGCTCATTTATTCCTGAAACAAGTACTTACTTCAGGTGCCCGCTCTGTGCCCACCCCAGTGTGGTTGGGCGGGGCCACAGCAGCATGCAAACCAGATTTCTTACAATGACCTCAAAATAAAACATTTAATTTAAAAAATCCCACTATTATCACAAAATGCTTAATTTTTTTTTTAAAGAAAAGTTCTCTTTTCTCAGGAAGTTCCTATTCCCGTGAGGAGAGAAGGGAGACACATCAGCAACTGAGCATATGTCTCATCAGCTGCTGAGACATGGAAATGGGGGTGGGGAGGGTGGGGGATGGGGAGGAGGAGGGGTGGGGGTGTCGCTTTAAAAGCTGATGGTGGCGGGGGGGGCGGGAGGGGCAGTTCTCTGTCCAGGGAGCCTTTGAGCAGAGACCCAAGGAGGTAGTTCACATTTTCAGCTTCTGATCCTCTCAAGGAGAGGAAACTCCACTATTTTTTTTTACCCTAGAAAACTATCTGGTTCATTCAAGTTTTCAAATCTGTCAGCAATTTCACATAATATCTTTTTCTATTTTCAGCTTGTGTCTGTTGGGATTGCCACCTTTACTTCACCTTAAGTTGCGTTTGTTTCTGTTTTATTTTTTTCTTTGTTACATTTGTCCCTTGTATTATTTGGACTTTTGTTTTTACTAAGAGAACCAGCTCAAAAACATAGGTATTATGTGCTCAACTGTTTGGTTTTTTTTTTTAGTTTCTAAATTACTCTTTTCTGCTTTGTCCCCTGATTCCTTCCTTCCTTATCTTTAGTTGGGGAGTTGCTTTTTAAAAAAAAATTATTAGTGAATGACTTCATGGATATTTTGTTTAACTTTTTCTCGGTTTCCTAATAACATCATCACAAAAGCTACAGAACTTTTTGGGTAAAACCTAACACGTGTCTTGCTGGTTTTCATAGGGGCAATTCTCTGTCATTTTTCTTAATTAACAGTTGGTTCTTGATTTCCTCCTTTCCCCAAAGGCAATGTTGGAGAATTTTCAATTTCTGATTTCTAATACGAGTTTCTCGTTTCAGCATATTGCAAACAGAGAGCTGGGCCCTCGGATGTCTGCATTTCAAATGTAGTGGGATTTTCCTGACGGCGGAAAATAAGATCTGTTCTTTAAACTCTTCTGCAGACCCTGGAAAGTGGGCTGAGCAACTGACAGCCCAAGCCAGCAGTCACTGTGTCCCCAGGAACTGGCGGACAGAACAAAATGTGAACAGGAAGTAAGCCTCAAGAGGAAGTGATTTGGATACAAAGGGACAAAGCACTGGCCTTTTTCAGAGCTGACTACGGGCCAGGGGCCGAGCTACACTAGGCACACGGCGGGCACCGTGTCCACGAGGGGCCGGGTGGGGTTGGTTCTTCAGAGCCAGAAACCAGGGCTCAGAGGGGTGCGAAGTAACTCCCTAAACTCTGTCCCCCTGCCCAAGGCCCTGTCCTCCCTGCTTTGCTGAGCAGGTCCCCACTTTCCTGTCAAGACCTATTTTTCATTATTTTTTTTTTCTTTTATTGATTCCAGAGAGGGGGAAGGGAGGAAGAAAGAGAAAACGTTGACGTGAGAAACATCGATCGGTTGCTTCTTGCACGCGCTCTGCCTGGGGACCAAGCTCACAACCTAGGTGTCTGCCCTGGCCAGGAATTGAACCTGCAAACTTTTGGTTTGCAAGATGACGCCCAACCAACTGAGCCACACAAGCCAGGGTTCAAAACCCATTTCACAAACTATCACCTCTTCTAAGAAAGCTTCCCAAAAGTGACAGCTAGGTATCCTTTTTCTGCTGACCAGTCTTTTTTAATTTTGTTTAAAGATTTTATTTGCCTATTTGTTAGAGAGGGAGAGACACATCAATGTGTGGTTGCCTCTCACACACCCCCTGCTGGGGACCTGGCCCACACCCAGGCATGTGCCCTGACTGGGAGTCAAGCTGGTGACCCTTTGATTCGCAGGCCTGCACTCAGTCCACTGAGCCACACCAGCCAGGGCATGTTTGCTAGTCTTAGGTTGCCCACCTTGGTTGCCTGGGGGACCCTAGAAGGTGGCTAGCACTTTCAGGGTTCTCAATAAATGTGTGGTGATGAAGTGAGGCAGAAAGGCAAAGGGAGGAGACCAAAAAGAGAACCAATATCTGGAAATTCGACACAGCAAAGCCACCCCCCTGTGGCACCCCTGCCAGTCAGGTGCAACCTGGGGGTTTCCAGGCAAACACAGTAACGTCCGCGGCTCCTTCCACCCACGTGCCGAGTGCATTCCAGTCCACACGGCATCATCCTACGTGCACGATCTCGTTTGACCTCGGCCGCGCAGGTCACCCCGATTCTAGGGAGTGAAGCATCCGCCTCAGGAGTCTGGCCAAGGTCACGCCAGTCAAAAGGGCCGAGAGCTCCTTCGACTCCAGTCCCTGCCGCAATCCGAGTGGAACCCAGGGTTCTCCTGACATTACAGCGTAGACCTACCTTACTCCTCTGGTCTCATCATCATACACAGTACTGTCTTTTTTCCCCCCAGAGACCACATGTTTAATGAATGCCGTCAAGGAAATTCATGCGAGTAACCCCCGAGGTTACATGCTGATGCATTTATCTGTCCTTATGAACGATACACATTTACTGAGCACCCCCACCCCACCCCTCACTCGCAGGCCCTGGACACGGGACCCAGGGGCAGGCTGGGGAGAACCACGTGCAGGGATCTGCAGGGTGGCCCCGCCCACAATCCCACAATCCCACAATCCCTGGGAAGGATGAATAAACCTTCCCTTTTCCTTCCCCACCCCCCCACGGCTTCCAGGCCTGCCTCCTCCTCCCCTGTCCTCCCAGTTCCCACCCCGCAACTCTTTATCTCCCTTCACAAAAAGCCCCATTCTTTTTGCACAATACACTTTCACAATAGAGAGTCTATTCAACCTCAGAGCCCAAATCATCAGCAACCAAAACACTGGTTCCTCTTTCCTGCCAGGCCCTCACACATCTCCAGTGCGGGAGAAGCAACTGCGTCCTGCCGCAGGACTTCCTGTTCGCTCCGCTGTTTCCGACTGTAAGCTCCTTGAAGGCCTGGCCTGGGCCCTTGACTATGGAGTGAACGAGAACCCTAAGTCTGTCCTCTAACTATATGTTGTTGTTTAAAAATAGTATAGCCAGCCCTGGCTGGTGTGGCTCAGTGGATTGAGTGCTGGCCTGTGAACTGAAACGTCACCAGTTCGATTCCCACTCAGGGCACATGCCTGGGTGGTGGGCTGGGGCCCCAGTGGGGGGGGCGTGCGAGTGGAAACCTATTGATGTATACATCGCACATTGATATTACTCTCCCCTTTCTTCCTCTCTTTAAAAATAAATTTTAAAAAATATTTAAAGGATTTATTTATTTATTTTTAGAGGGGAAGGGAAGGAGAAAGAGAGGGAGAGAAACATCAATGTTTGGTTGCCTCTCGCACACCCACTACTGGGGACCTGGCTCGCAACCCAGGCATGTGCCCTGAGTGGGGATCGAACTGGCAACCCCTTGCTTCCCAGGGCCAGCACTCAATCCACTGAGCCACACCAGCCAGGGCTAAAAAATTTTTTTTTAAATAATATAATCATTATAGAAATTTGGCAAATATGCTAAAAAAGAAGAAAATAAAAATCACCTATAATTAAAAAAAACAGAAAAAGCTTTAACTTATTTGCATTTCTAAGTCTTTTTCTTTTACATGTATTTTTGGGGGATAAATATACAAGTGTATACAACATTGCACAAAAATATAGTTCTGTTGCATATGCAATTTTGGATTGCTCTCAATATATTACCAACATTCCCCAATTCATTAAGCAGTCTTCAAAAACATGTTTTCTTAATAGCTATATAGTATCAGACCATTACTTCAACCGTTTCCTCATTGTGACTACTTCGGTTTTTTTCTTCCTTGACTTCCCTTTTCCTTTTATCTGTTTGTAATTTTTGCCAACATAAATAACATTCTGGTAAACATCCTTGACACGCATCTTTGTCCACCCTGCAGATTCTTACACACAGAATTCTAGAACTAAAGTTGCGGAGCCGAAGGCTGTAAACGTTTAAGTTCCCCTTGATCTCGGACATTCAGTGACATTCCAAAGGCTTTGTCCCAGTGAGCTTTTCTGTATGTATTTGTTTTTTAACTGGCGAAGTGAGCAGTTTCCTGTTTACGGTCCACGCCTACGTTTCCTTGGGCGTTATTTTTAGTCTTATATTTATGCAAATAAGGCCAGCGACGTCATTGGGAATCAATCCGCGCCAATACGCACCCTTGGTCCCAGGCGAGGGGGCGGTCCTTAGAGGTGGCTGCGTGGACGCCCCCTGTCTCTTCTGCTGGGAAAACCACCTGCCAATGCCGGATGTTCACCCCGCACAGACTTCGGCTTCCTCGGGGTTCCCCCCCCAAAGCCTGGATCATTCCTAGATTGTTACATACTTCTCAGAATGTAGGGTCGCTGCCCCTCACATTTCCTGTGGGACTGGGTCGCCACTGCAGGTCGCAGTGACGCGCCATTAGCCCCAGGTCCCCCGCCGTCTCCAGGGAGCCCTGGGCGCCCTTCCACTGAAGAAGGGATAATGGGAAGGGGGTCTGTGAAACGTCTGCCTTCTGCAGCCCCCCTCTCAGTTCGATCCCGGGGGCCGACACCTCCCCTTGGCGCATCCCAGCGCGGAGGGGTGGTACTAAACATCGGACAGGAAGCAGGGCCACGCCACCGATAGTTCTGCAAATGTTCGTCTGGATCCGTCGAGGAGAGCCGCGGGTCTGAATAATCCCCCGCTAGCCTCCCCGCGGTCCCTCCGGTGAGCACGCCCCTGGAAACACCGACGAGCGGTACTTCATCGGCGTTCTCAGTGTACGACACGCCTCCGCGTTTCGGAGATGGAGAGGAACATTCTGGGAGGTCTGTGGCCTGCGTGCGTCCTCCCTGGGGGAAACCCTGAGGATGAATAAACCGTGCAATAACAACCCTTCCTGCCCACTTCAGCTCGAGGGGTGGCCACCGTGGGGCTTCTGAAAGCCCCCCCCCCCCCGGGAGACCCCCTGGACGGCTTCTGCATCAGAACAGCCCACTTCTTTCTGTCTAGTGAGAGTCTGGAGGCTTGTTCCTGGGCCTGCGCAGGTCAGGAGCTGTGGCTAAACCCTGGCAGAGTCCGACCGTGACTTCAGGCCTAGTAACATTCACACCTGTTTCCCAATTTACGAAATACACTCTCATGCATTACCTGTCCTGTATTACCTGCCTTCATTCCTCCCAGTCCCAGGACGCTGACATCAGTGAATTGAAAAGGTGCCAGATGCCTTGGCTGGTGTAGCTCAGTGGATTGAGCATGGGCTGCAAACCAAAAGGTTGTGGGTTTGATTCCCAGTCACGGCACATGCCTGGGTTGCGGGCCATGTCCCAGTCGGGGCCATGTGAGAGGCAACCGCACATGGATGTTTCTCTCCCTCTCTTTCTCCCTCCCTTCCCCTCTCTCTAAAGATAAATAAATAAAACCTTAAGTCAGAGAGGGAAGTGGGTCACCTGCCCAGACAGGTTCTCCCAGGGAGGCAACCTGGACTAGAAGAAGATAAAGGGGAGGGAGAGGGGCCTGTCTCTTTAAAGAGAAAACAGATGCTCAAAGGAACTCCCAACTGGACACGGGCTGTGAACCCTGGCTCTGCCACCCCACGGCTGTGACCTCGGGACCTTTTTTAGATTCCTGTGCCTTGGTCCGTCAGAATATGGCATCTGCCTGTCACAAAGGAGACGGTATATTCATCACCCATAAGAGTGAAAACCTGGCAACACCCCACAAGTCCGACGATGGGTTTACACAAGTTAAGATGCGTGCACGTCACGGAGTAATGTTCGTTAAGAACGATAATGAGGATGTTTGTGGAGAGAGAAAGATATTTGGTGATACAGCATTGGGCAAAAGTGGCTGCAATGCAGTAGGTACAGGGTTACATCATTTTTGTCAACTTTGTAAAAATAACGTATCTACACGTGTAGTCACTCGTTTGTGGGGCAACGTTTCCTTTGTACAGTTTTGTTACGTGCACTTCCACGTGACTCCGTGGGCATGGAACGGCCACAGATGTATGTACACGGAACTACAGTGGCTCCGTGGGGGTTCCTCTTCCGTTTTGCTCAGCTGACTTTCCTATTCTTTCACAATGAACTCGTGTTATGAAGAAATAATAGACGTGCCAAATGATTACAGTACAGGACCTGGAACACTGGTGTGCCCGGATCCAGGGGGCAGGCACTGGTGCCAGAGTTCATCTACACGTGGCTTGGGGAACGAGGAACCCAAGCGAAAGGCTGAGATTTACATTGGACTCCAGAGGAGCCAATACTCCTTTCTCGCCTTCCCTCCCCTAGTCTGCCGCTCTCCACTGGGCAAACCCGGCCAGGTACCTACCCCTAGGGGCCCGCTTTTCCGACCCCTGTCTGTTCTTCCGGCAGGCTGCTTCTCCACGGAGGAGGCCAGCCCTTCGCAACCCATCTCCACACCCCAGTCGAGCTCCCTGAGATAACACGTTGGCCACCAAGACGAGACGTAGGTGTTCCGCACCCCGGCCTCCTGTTGGGACACACGGCATGTTTCAATGACCGCTTCCTCCGCTGAGAGCTCATCTCATTTCTGACATGGTGAGTCATTCTGGTTTCACCCCAGAACATAATCTCATGTTACGGGAGTAAAGGCACCTCCCCGTCACTCCCTGATTTATAAAACTCATGAACGGAAGCTACCACGTTATCGACACTCTGCACCGGACACCACGCTGTGTGTGCACGGGCTCATGCCAGCTTCCCAGCAACGCTGTGAGACCGGCGTGTTCACCCCCATTTTACAGATGAGAAAACAGAGACTCAGAGCGGCCAACTGGCCCAGGGGCGCGCAGCGAGGAAGCCTGGGTCCTTTATCAGAAGGCGCTGCCTTTGCAGCCCACTGACCTGCTCTCCCCCGTTTTATAAATGGGGAAACTGAGTCTAAGTCACCCAAGGGCATGGAGTTAGCAAGTCAAGAGGCTGAAATGGGAACGTCTCCCTGGTACCCGCTACCTTCTCCCTGCCCCCCCATGCCTGGTCATCACGATGCCTGGTCATCACGGTGGCCCTCCCTGCTGTCTCCTCCCCCGAGCATTCCCTGCCGCTGCCCTCGCTCCCTACTCCCCCGCACGCATCCACCCTGCAGAGATTACTTGTGGCAGTTCCCAGAATCCGTACGAATGTGCTCTCCTGCCCTGGGGGCTTTGGACAGGCTGTGCCTGCCCACACGTTTGCTCGGCCCAGGCCTACCCATCTCGGTGTAACCTTCTCCAGAAAGCCACCCCTGAACACCCGCGTGGACGCTTCCTTGGCTCCTCTGGATGTGCATCCCCCGGCCTCGTGGCTGCTTGTCTGCTCTCCGCTTCCCGGGTCTGCAAGGCCTGATGGAGGGCCAGGGCCGCTGGGGGTCCTCCGCGCCCAGCGCGAGAGCACGCACCCAGCCGACACTCAGGAGACATGTGTTCAATGGACGCTTGCCTATCAGAGCTACGTTGTGCTTTGTTGGAAGGATGCCGCTTCGGTGCCCTGAGCGGAAGGACCTACGACGGCAGAAACGTGGCTTCCCCGTGAGAGGGCAGAGCGGGCGCAGGCTCGGGGGTCACGGAGGAAGAGGGGTGTTCTCTGAGCTGACATGCACACCAAGGTGCCCTCCTCGCTCAAGCCAAGTCTCGGGCTCCTGTTTCCCCACTCCCAGTCAGAAACAAACCGTGTTCTGAGTGACGGAAGTCATCCCCAGGAGCTGGCTTAGGGTGGGGTGAGGGGCAGTGGCCTTGGGGCTCCAGTCACCAAAGGCCCAGGCCTCCGGGCTGGGGCGTGGGGGGCGGGGAAGGGGTGAAGAGCAGCAGGTCGGTCCCGGGAGGCTGCAGTCACGGAGGGGGGGAGAGACAATGGGGCTCAGCATCTGCTCCTCGCTGGGAGAAGGGACCCTCTAGTGAAAAGCCAGGGAAAGCAGGGAAGTGTGGGAGGAATTGATGAGAAGGGGCGGAGCCAAGGAGATGCAGCCGGGAGGAAGGAAGAGAAGGAAGAGAGGCGGGAGGCGAAAGATCCAGGCTTTCCTTCCTCTCCCTGACATGGTCTTGAAGCCGCGGCCTTCTCCGGCATTGTTTCCTGCGGAAACTCTGGGGGGTTGAGTCGGGGAGGGGGGGGCGCCACGGAGACCTCACGTTTTTTTCCCCAACCCCTGGCAGCAGCCCCAGTCCGAGTCCCAGGCATCCAGCAGGTGCTCAATACTTACTTGGGAAAATGAGGAATGTGGCCAACTTTGCTCTGGGAACTTTTCCCCTGTCATCTCCCCACTTCCCCGGAGAGGCCAAGGGCAGAGCAGGTCTTGGGAGCACGCCCAGGCGCCCCATGAATAATTGACCCTTCGTGGTGGCTCTGCCCGGCTCTGTTCCGAGCGCCTCCTGGGAGTCAAGACGCGGCTCGGAGGGGTGGGCCCTGCTGGTTGGAGGCCGAGGGTCCGGCCTGCCGGGGAGCTGGAGGGAGGCCAGGCTGTGCCAAGACCCCTGCAGGGAGGCGCGAGGGCCTGACCCCGCGCGGAGAGCGGCCACGCCTCGGCGCCCCCAGCCGTGAGAGCGGGGCCCAGGCCCAGGGCCTGGGATTGGAGGGTCCACCAGAGGACGACGACCCCGGCTCCCCCAGCCCCGTCCCCACGCGGGCCGGGCGCGCGCTCGCCGCCCGCGCCGCTCCCTCGAGCCTGGCTGTCCAGGGCTCTGCCAACAGCTGTTTCAAGGCTCTTTTACAGTTCGGCGCGGTGCGGGGACGTCTGCCCCGAGCCCATCTGCCTACTTTAAAAATACAGGAGTACAGAACACACCCAGCCCTCCACCTCGGGGCCGGGGAGGGGCGGCTGGGCGGCACCCGGAGCCGCGCCCCCCACCTCCCAGCTCCCCTTCCTGAGGACGCCCCAGGCTTCCCCTGGGCTGGGGGGTGGCGCGCGGTCCCTGGGGCCCCTTTGTGCCGGGCCGGGCCCCCCCACTTCCATGCGAGGCGCTGCCGCTGCCCCTCTCCCCCGCTTCACTTCATCTTTGTTCCCCTTTTCTGAAAGGAGAAAAAAAAAAAAGAGAGAGAGAGAAAGAAAAGGAGGAAAAAAAAAAGGCGTGACTTGATTTTCAAACGAAACTCCCACAGCCAACAAAACCCTTTTAGAGAAATAAGAAAGGAGGAAGAAGGAAGAAAAGAGGGAAGAAAAAAAAACCCGGGAGGGGGGGCCCCCGCAAACCCTCCAGGCTTTCCATTTGAGTGGGAGAGTTGAACCGAAAGGCAGAGAAAGAGAGGAAGAAAAAAATCCTGTCTGCGGTGGAAAGAGAAAAGAAAACTTGGGCTGACAGGAGGGGGTGGGGGGGTGGAAGGAAGTGAGAAAACAAAAGAGAGATAAAAGGGCTGCTTTTCTGTCTCTCTTCCTCTGCGAGCTGGGTTAGGAGGAGCTGTTTTGCATCCCTTCACGTCAGCCCTGCCTCGTTCCCTTCTTCCAGGGAGGGAGAGGAGCGAGAGGGAGAGAGAGCGAGAGAGAGACGGAGAGAGAGGGAGAGAGAGAGAGGGAGAGAGAGAGAGAGAGAGAGAGGGAGAGAGAGAGAGGGAGAGAGAGAGCCGCGGAGGGCGGGCGGCGGAGCGGGCGGCGGGCGCGCGTGGAGGCGGCGGCGGGCGCGCAGCAGCAGCCCGGGCGGTGGGTAGCAGGAGCCCCCGGCCCGCCGAGGGCCCCAGCCCAGGAGCCGCGCCCGGACCAGGGTGAGTGTCCCGCGCGGCCCCGGCCCCGCAGCCCCGGGCGGGTGGGCGGTCGGGCAGGCGGGCGGCGGCGGGGGCGCGGGGGGCGCGGGGGTGGGTCGCTGCGGCCGGGGCCGGCCCGCCCCCCGCCTGTCCCCGGGGACGGCCGCGCGCAGGCCCGCGCAGCGCCGCAAACATGTCGTCTTTCCCTTTCACTTCCACATTCCCTCCTGCCGGCAAGCTGGAGGGAGAGAGGGAGAGCGGGGGAAAGAGGGAGAGATGGCGTCTGCGGGGGGGGGGCGGGGAGCGGGAGCTGGGAGGAGGGGGAAGGGAGGGAGGAGAGCGCGCGAACGGGAGACGGAGGAGAGAGGAAGAGAGAGCGAGAGAGAGAAGCAGAAATGAAAGGGAAGCGCCGCGGTGGCGGCGGCCGCGCAGGAGGCCCGGGCCGTGGCGGCGGCGGCGGCGGCGGCTGCTGCTGCTGCGGGGCCCGCACGTGGGTGTCCCGGCGCCGGCGCGCTCCCCCCCGCCGCCCGCCCGGGACTCAAAGTTTCACCCCCCAGCCGCGCCGCCCCGCCCCTCGGCTGCCCACAAACTTTACTCTCCGGGCGGGTGGGGTGGCCGCGCGTCCCCGACACCCGGGGTGGGGGAGGGCGGAGCGCGCCTCCGGGGGCTCGGGGGTCCCCGAGGGCAGCCGTGCGCCGGGGGGCCCCCCGCCGGAACGGCGTCGGGGCGCCCCAGCCGGGGACCTGTTGAAGACGCTCGCCGGCTGGCCGGGTCCCCACGGGCCTGTCCGGAGTCTCCCGAGTCTCCGTCCTCCTTCCTGGTCGCCCACTCTCAACGTCTCCTCGCGGTCATTTTCCTAATTGGACAGAGATGGGGGTGTGATCCTCCGCGTCAGATTGGGGGCCTCGAGGCTGCCGGGTTGAGCGCGGAGGGGGGGCCCGGGGACCGTTGGGGCAGCCTTGCGTCTCTGCCCCGGCGCGCAGATCCCGCAGATCCGGCCCTCTGCCACCGCCCCCCCCACCCAACCGCGGACTTGCTAACTAGTGCGTATCGGGGTTTTTTTGGTTTTGTTTTGTTTTTCCAAGTTGCCTTTTAAGATGACTTTTATGGTCGCTGCCACTGTTTGCCTCCAGTCTGAGCTGTAGTTTGGGAAGATTTAAGAGGCCAGGGAGGTGCTTGTGTGGGTTTTAACTAACCCAAAACGGTCATTAATGTCTCTCTAAGCTCCGCGATGGTTGGGGCAAGGCGCAGCGTAAGCCTCACTGCCTCTCCATGGGGACCCTGTGAGGGGTTGGCCGTTCCAGGGAGGGACCCTTCTCCAGGACCTCCCTGGGGCTGCTGGCCGAACGTCCTAAATCCCCACCTGCTGCGATCTGGAGGGGATATAACCAGTGTCGGTGGGCTCCTGGGAAATTTGCCAAATTTCCCCACAGGTGTTCGGAGAAGGACTTTGCACCCTTGAGGGTCACCCAGCCAACTTTGAAGCTACTCTTTCAGCCCTGCCTTGAATACGTGTAAGTAACCACAGGCGGAGTTCGTGTCTGCCGCGCAGAGGGCTTTTGGAGGACCTGCCGGGCCAGGTCGGGAGGGCAAGAAACCCCACCCCACCCCCCAGCGCGGTGAGACCTGTGTGTGCCCTTCGTGTTCGTGACCAAAGCCGTGGACCTGTCTGGTTTTGATTTTGGAGACGAAGTATGGTTGTCTCTTTCTCATTAGGTTTAAAGGGAATGTTCTTTTCTAGAGCTTTTCCGGCGGTTTCATCAGGTGGCGCTCTGGCCAGGTGTCAGTCACCCTGTGCCAGGCACCTGCCCGTCTCGGAACGGGACCTCTTCATCGGTCGCCCGTGGGCTGCCGTAACCTGCAGAGCCTGGCCTTCTGGCCTGAGGGTAGTGTGTGTGGGCTGCTGGCCACTGGGGAGGGGGCGTGGGGCGTTTGGGTCACATGGTCCTCCCTGCAGGCTCCCCCGAGTGCCCGTGGAGGCCGACACAGTGAGGTGCAGCGGGGGCTGGCATCTCACTCTTCTCCCCAGAGCAGATCCCCCCGGGGCGAGTCCGTTCTGTGGCGTGTGGCCAGCAGGTCATTGGTTCTGCCCTTGGGGGTCATTTCCATTCCCCGCCCCCCCCCCCCACCCGGTGAGCCTTATTTTTAGGCTCCGTGTCTGGAGGAGACAAGGAGACAGGCCAGGTCTAGAGTGGTTTTCGAGTTGGAGGAAGACAGACGAGTGGGCCCACCGGAGACTTTGTACAACTTCTATTTTAGATGTGCCTTGCGGCCTGAAGGTGCTTCTCTCAGGGTTGTGCCTGGAAAGCCGGAGTCTGACACTGGGAAGGAGGGAGGGAGGAAGTGCAGGTGCAGGCGGGCGTCTTGGGAGTCGGAGCATGTCCCCCCTCACAAGGGCTCCCCATCAGGCTTGCACGTCCCCCTCCCCAGTCCCTGGGCAGTAGCTGGTGGCGTGGAACTAAGGGAGCCGTGAACCCGCTGAGTCTCCTGTCCTCGGGGGTTGATCCCAGCCCTTGGGTGTCCAAGCCAGAAGAGGAGCTTAGAGGTCGTGGAAACAGAAACCGAGGCAGGAGACCCGCTCCGGGCCCGGAGGCCCGCAGGACGCCGCAGAGCCAGCCCTTGACCCTGGACCTTCCGAGTTCATTTCCACGGCTCTTTCCACGGGGCTGCTGCCTCTCTGCCTGCTGGGGAGCCCTTCCTGGCTTTGAGAACACGAAACCACGGGCAGGTGCTCCGCGCGCGTGAGACAGGGGATGCGTGAGACAGGGGAATGGGGCCTTATTTTCCGAGCGTGTTCCGCAGACTGTCCGGGAGGATTTGACGGGCCGTGTGGCTGCTAGGGGGGAAAACCGGGTGCTTCTGGCTGTTTTAACACAGACTTCTTCAAAGTCTACCCGTTGAACAGGCTGTTCCCAAGTCACGCTTAGCGCCTTTTTTTTTTTTTTTTTAAATCTGGAATGCTTTCTTCATGCTTTGATACTTGCGATTGGTCTGGGGCAGAGGCGGGGTGTAAGGGTCTGACCTCTCCTGGTGGATCAGAGCTCCCTGTACACCGTCATTTCAGGAGGGTCCAGGTGTGTCTTCGTGTTCCCCGAGATGCCCCTGTGCCCAGCACAGGGCCTGGCAGGTAGAGGGCCCTCGGTAAATACCTGTTGTGAGTAAATGCACTGGATAGTTGGCACAAGATTTCCCTCCCGGAAGGGACGGACCTACGACTGAGGCAAGGACGCAGGGACAGGGAAGTGATTGATGGCGGGAGCCGCCGCGGCGTTGTGCGGTGAGTCATTGCTTTTTGCAAGCTCCTGACAGGTGAGGCGGGAGGAGCCGCCGGGGAGAGTCAGCCCGGAGTGGGGTGGAGCCAGAGGGTGGCGGCTTGTGCAAAACAACAGTGAGGACTGGATGCAGGAGAAGGATAATAATTATGTGTCTCGGGCCAGGCTTGGCCAAGCACTCGACGAATATCACCACCCTCAGTCCTCGCGGTTGCTAGCTACGGCGCAGTGATTGCCACTCGGCAGGCCCGGGGCACCGAAGCACAGGGGGGTTGAGTAGCCCATCCCAGGGCACCGAGCTGGCCTCGGAACCCAGGCAGGTCACTGACCGCAGACGTGGCCTCCTTAGGATGACGGCGAGGTCAGACGTCTGTGCTCACCCCAAGGAGATGGGCACTCAGAACGTTGGGACTCCTCGAAAGGGCGGCAGCGGGAGAACTGGAAGAGAAAGCAGCTGGCCTGCCGGGGAGGCGCGAGACTGGTCAGGGAGCGTGCCCCCCCCGCCGCTTTCTCGGCCAGGGCCCTCGCGGCGGCCGAAGACCCCTCTCCCAGTGACGACTCTAAGGGGAAGCATGTTGGGGGGCTTAACTGTTTTCCAAGCAGAGTGATTAGTGCAATGGAGACTGTTTCCCACCTGATAAAGCTTCAGGAAAACTTTTTAGAGGGCCGGGGGGAGTATGCTTTTCAACTTAAACTAGGGTTGTTATGTATTTGAAACAGGTGGGCATTTTATTTTTAAAAAACACTTTGTTTATTTTTAGAAGGAAAGGGAGGCAGAGAGGGAGAGAAACATCCATGTACGGTTGCCTCTCGTGAGGCCCCTATTGGGGACCTGGCCAGCAACCCAGGCACGTGCCCTGACTGGGAATTGAACCAGCGTCCCTTTGGTTCACAGGCCTGCACACAGTCCACTGAGCCACACCAGCCAGGGCTGAAACTGGTGGGAATTTTAAAGCTGGTATGTCCCTGTTGTCCTTGAGGCCAACAGAAGTTGTTTTCCTCACGTGTAAACCACGCCCACCTCCTGCAGGGTGCTGGCCCAGGCCATTCCAGACCCTGGCAGCCACCCTTTCGTCAACAGTGTGTGAGATTGCCCAGTCGCTGAGCCAGTCCCGCCCGCGTGGAGCTTGCAGTCTCCCTGGGAGACAGGCATTAAACTAATAATTACACAAATGCTCTTTAATTACAGTTGTTGCCAGTGCTTCAAAGGAAGGAGTGCAGAGGCCATGGGAGCTGATAGTCGAGGAGGAAGAGGCAGGGAGGCCCTTCTGCAGAAAGGGCATCTGAGCAGTCACGGGGCGGGTGGGCGGAGACGCTTTCACCAGGGTGGGGCAGCCCATTAACCTTGACCTCAACCCTCGCAGCTCCTTGTGGTCTGTGCACTATCAGCACTACCAGCTCCTGGGAGCTTGTTGGAAATGCAGAATCTCAGGCCCCCGGGGCAGACCTGCTGAGTCCGCGTTTTAGCAAGACGTGTGTGCAGGGTCAAGTCTGAGAAACGCTGACGGAATCAAAGTTCAGAACCGGGTGGCTTCGCTGCGAACGAGCTGGGTGACCTCGGGCAAGTCGTTGCCGTGGGTGACGAGGGAATCAGGTCAAGTCACAGGTTCCTTCTGGCCTCGCTGCTCTCGGGCTCTTGCTGGTTGGTTCAGCCTCCGGATGTGCTGAGGACCTGGGCTTACACAGCACCCACCTCGGGGGTGCCTTCCGTGGGGACGCAGCAGCTCTCGTCCACGCTCTGGTGGGACGTCGGGAAGCGGTGGAGAGGGGCTGGGCCCTGAGAGCTCTGGACAGGGAGCAGAACAATCCACAGAAAGCGTGTGGAGCTTTGTCGCACACGGAGAGATTGTCTTAAGGATCTGGCCTGAAGGGAAAGAGATACTGGCCGGGGTCAAAAAGGGCCTTGGGGAAGAAAAGTGTAACATTTTTGCGAAAAAGGGGAACCCAACACGAGAGTGGGAGGAACCTGCAGAACAGTTTGCGTGCGAGCGTGGGTAAAACGCTTGAAGAATCGCCGTGGCCTGGTTGTCCCTGAGGCCCTCCTGTCACTGGAGCGAGGCCCCACGGTCTGAAACTGGGGATCCTCGCGTGTTGCCGTCTGTGGGTGGCCTTCCGTCCCAACTGCCGCTGTGCAAAGCATTACGTCTGTGTGCGTGCGCTTTGCTGAGGAGAAGACCCGTGGCTTTCGCCAGCCTCCGAGGGGTCTCTCTGCAGCCGCCCGGAACTGGGGGCCAGTGTCTTTTTTTTTTTTTTTTTCAGTTTTTATTTATTGATTTTAGAGACAGAAGAAGGGAGAGACAGAGAGAGAAACATCGATTTGTTGTTCCACCTCCTCATGCGTTCAGTGCGTGATTCTTGTACGTGCCCTGACCGTTTGTCGAACCCGCAACCTGGGTGCGCCGAGAGGGTGCTCTCACTAGCTCCGCTGCCCACCCGGCCAGGGCGCCTGGGCGCCAGTGCCCATCTTGACCCATCTCCCCCAGCACTTCCTATGGGCCAGCCGCCCATACATGGGCCACTTTCCATGTATTAGCTCATTTACGTTGAATACCTTTCCAGAAGTCACGCCCTTAGGAAGTGTCAGAACCAGGATGGTACCCAGAGGCCCTGCTCCCAGAACCTACCTTCCCAACAGGGCAGGTGGGACAGGACGCACCGGGAGCTCTTGCTGGTCCAACGGAAGTTGAGCTTGGAGAGGCCCCTACTCCACGGGGAACAGGAAGGGTTTTCCCCAAGGAAACCAACTGGTCACAGTCACGAATACCATGGTCACGAATACGTTGCCGGGCTAGCCCACGAGAGCCGGGGTCACTGCCAGATCCACCACCTCGTGTCTGTTGGCCAAGCAAAAAAAAAAATGAGGAAATAAGACAGGTGCAGTGCTGCAAGCTAGATTAAAACTCCTGGGACCCCGTGGAAGGTGCTGAAAGCATCGCACTGTGGAATGAGGCGGGTGAGGGGGTGGGGGGAGATCGGTGCGGATTCCGAAAGGGGATTAAAGGAGGTCGGAGGCCAGAGCAGGGCCAAATGTGTGTCGGACCGACCGCAGCTTCAGAAGGGACAATAACTGGTTTTTATTACCTGCTAATTAATGTGTGTGGCTCGAGGACCCGACCCCTCCCCCATCCCGAGTGCCGCGCCCCGAGCACACAGGACTTTTTGTCTTCTCTTTTATTCCTTTCTGCGCTCTCGGGATTTTTTCTTTATCCGTGTGCATTATCTTTAAAATCTGTAAAGTCGTCAGTGCAGTGAAAGGGCCGTTAGAAGTGGGTTGACCTCTAGGGTTGGGTTTGGTCCCGTCGCCGCCACCATCCTCATAAAGGGCTTTCTGGTGTGAAGTATCTGTGCTCTGTGGCGCGTGTATTTTGGGAGTACCGAGAGAGCTCTCGGAAACGTGAGGGGGTTTTCGGGGTGCGGTCGGAAGCGGGGAAGAATAAATGTCGCCCCGCGGTCTCCCGCACCCCAGGTAGCTACAAAGTGGAGAATGAAAATCGGGTGACAGTGCTCAGTTCAGAAAACAGGAATGGCCACGTCCTGGGTGTGCACAGGGAGCGGTCACTTCTCCGATGACTCAGGTTGTGTGTGACTCGTCTTCTGGGCGGTGCCTGAGGGCCACCCCTGACCCCGTCCCATTCCCGATGGGGGGAGGGGCCGGCATCAGTGGGATGGGCTGCCAGATGGGGAATGCTGTCGCGCTTGTGTTTGGCAAACCAAAACACAAACAAACAAACAAAAAGAAACAATCGCCAAGGTTTAAGGGTTGCTGAGCCTCTTCCGAGCGACCTCCCAAGGCCCCCATGCCAGCTGGTCTCCCTCGGAGCATCCGGTGTCCTCAGGGGCTGGCGATTGGTTAACCACACCTTGTGACGTCAGATCCTGGGCCACCCCCAACCCCGTCCTCACCCCCCCAGCCTTTCACTAGCTGCATAGCTGCAGACCCCAAGACCTCCTTGGACTTGCCATTATTCCAAAATTCTGGACTCTTCCCCCCCACCCCCCCCACCACGCAGCCCTGCCCCAAACTGAGAAACCTGGCCCGCTCACCTGGGCCACGTGCCCCCGCCCTCGCAGCCGCCTCCCTTGGACGGGGCGCCCTCATCCTCCTGTGCCCCAGCTCCCCACTGCAGCTACCACACGCCTGGCTCCCTCCCCTTTGTCCCTGCTTCTCCTGACACCGCCCCCCCATCACAGATCACATCTCTGCATGCTAAGGCTTCGCAAGGAGGAGTCCACCCTGGCTGTCCCTGCTTCCTCTACCCGCCCCCTCTCCAGAGACTGTGTCACCCCCTATTCCTACCTGCTCTCCCAGAGGTCCCTGGCCACCCCCTGGTCACACCCAGTGGCCCCTTTTGTGGCCTCTGCTTACCTGACTCTTCCGTGGCAGGTACTGTGGTGGGGAATCTTGCCCCCAGTGGGTTCTGGCTCCTCACTCTGGGTCTTCCTCAGGCCTCTCTCTTCTGCTTTTCCTACCCCTCCCTCCCTCCCGGCTACACCCTGGGGCCGCAGCCTGGCTTCTCTGCTCCTTGTTTCCCTGGTCTGTGACAGGGACTCTGACCCATACCCTGTGCTCACGTCCCCTGTAAGCAGCTTAGGGCTGGGTTCCCACGCGGTCGAGCTTTGGATATCCGTGGGTTTCTCTCTTCCCATCTTAGTTCCTGCTTTCTGTTTCTTCTTTTTCTGGTTCTTTTTTTTTCTCTGTGCATTCTTTTACATCGATGGAACGTTGTTTTTTTTTTTCCCTTCACTCTATGTTTTACTTTTGTTGTACCGCTTCAGAACTTACACACTCTATTTCTGTTCTTTGATGCGTGCCGACTGCAGAAGGTTTCAAGTCAGGTCGGTGCCTTTTGGCGTTATTTTTCAAATAACACGGGAACCTCGGGAGGCTTTGTGTGGAGTCACTGTTGTCCCCGCTCACGCCCAGCGGCCGTGCAGCAGGCTCACCGCATCTCCTCTCTTGAACTCCGCACACTGGGCGTTATTTTTGGATGTGTTATACGTTGTTTAATCTTGGCTCTGGTTTTCCACGTATTTGCCATTTTGCTTCCTGAGGTTTCTCCTGGCATCTGAGGCTTCCTTTCTGGGATCAGAACATCATAGGGTGAGGGTCTTTTCATCGTCCACTTTCGGTTCCTGTTTGGCTGACACGGATTGTTCTGCTGGGTATAAAACGTCCGCTTGTCCGTTATTTTCTCATGGTGTTTAAAGATAGTATGATGCCGTCTTCTGGCCTTCCCTGCTGATGCTGAGAAGTCGGAGGCCCGGTTACCTAGGTAACCTCTTCTCTCCGGTGGTTGCTGGTGGTGGTGGTGCTGGTATGGTTGTGTGTGGACATGCACATGCATGTATTTGGTTGTGTGGGGACACGCACATGCATGTGTTTTGCAGTTCACTGTGATGTACTTAGGAGCGTATTTTATTTTATTTGGCTAACGATTCATTGGGCTTCCTGAAACCAAAGGTTGATGACTTTTTATCAGTTCTAGAAAGTTCTAAGGCATTATCTCTTTGAATATTGTCTCTCTATCCTCTGTCTCTCTAGCCTCTCCTTTGGAAACTCCAATTAGATGTACGTGAGATTCTATCCTTTGTGTCTCTTAGTCTTATCTATCTATCCGTTCATCCTTGCCTGGGACTTGCTTGTTGATTTTAGAGAGAGGGGGCAGGAGGGAGAAAGAGGGAGAGAAACGTCGGTATGAGAAACATTGATCGGTTGCCTCTCACACGCAACTCAACTGGGATCGAACCCACAACCCAGGCATGTGCCCTGACTGGGAATCGAACCTGCAACCTTTCAGTTTATGGGACAGGGCTCCAACCAACTGAGCCACACTGGCCAGAGCTTTATTTTCAATCATTTAGTTTTTTTTTGGTGATGTTTTCTGAGTAATTTCTTATTTGTCTTTCAGTTCACTAATTCTCTCTTTAGTTTTCTCTAATCTTCCGCTTAGCCTTTCCATAAGTTATTTTTAATATCAATATTAACTCACAGGTTTTAATACATGTAATGTGTTTTAATCCATTGCAGTTATTACCATTGATGCTCATCCTTGGAGTTTTTAATCTGGATGACTTTATTTTTTTATTTCTATGTTTCTACTTCATCCTTTTTCAAGGTCTTTTTTTTTTAATTAGCGATTCCTCTTTATTTATGTCTTGAATTCCCTGTTTTATTTCCTTTATCCCATTAAGCACACCTATTTTGTATTCTGCATCCGGCGATTCCGGGATCTGAAGTATCCGCAGGCACCCGTCCGTGGTTTGCTGCTCCTGCTGATTCCCACCCTCGAGGGTGGTTTTTGATTGTGAGCGGAGGTTTGCTAGAATCCTACCTGGGAGAGTTCTTTGAAGTATCAGACGAGAGAACGTCCCTCCGGGGAGGGTATGCTTCCTCCCGCCAGATTCCTGAAGGCCCGGCTGGTCCATGTATTTATAATTCTTAGCTTGCGGTCTTGAGGGCCTCCGCTGACCGTGGGTTCTCAGAGGAGGCTTTCTTAAACAACAAAAAAAAACCTCCTTCCACAGCTAACTAGTCCGGACTACTTTTTTCCTGACTCCGAACCACCTGATACCCTGCTTTGCCCCATTGTTCCCTTATGGCAAACGCCTTTTCTTCATCTTTGAACAAAGTCCTAGTCATTCCAGGTCCAGTTACAAACTTGTCTCTTTTCTCGGTCTTCCCCGCGTCACCGCTTAAAGGACGAGCCTCCCCTTCCACATCCATCGGCCACGGCTGCCTTACCTCGCAAGCTGCGGGTGTGTGGATTCAGGCGCTACGCTGGACTCTGAGCTTCTCTTTTCTTTCTTTTTTTTTTAATTGCATTGTGTGCTCAGCACCCCAAGTCAAGTTTCCTCCCATCACCATTACCCCCCCTTCACCTTCTCCTGCCTCCCCACCCCCCTGACTCTGAGCTCCTTAAAAGCCTGGAGCCGTGTCATTTAGTTCTGGAGCCCCGGTTCCTGGCTCCCTGTTGGGCAGAGTAGCTGCTTAATAGATATCTATCGATCGAGCACAATTTATGCCAAAATCAATACTCTCTTCTTCTTTAATAGTAATAAAAAAAATCACAAGCACTGACCTGCCCCCCGTGGTCTGGGACAGGTCCAGAGCGCCTGGTTGGACCTCAGTGTCCTTAGCTGGAGAAGGAAGGGCTGGTTCCGAGATCTCCACCTGCTGGGAGATACCGACATTCCGCGCAACCCGCGTGACTGTCAGTCACGGTGACACCGATCAACTCTCGGGTCACACATGGAGCGGAGGGACGAGGGGGCCGTGGAGAGGAGGAGCGTGGTGGCCGGGCGTGACTTGGAAGAGAGAAAGGAGAAGGGACTCAATGGTAAATTCATGCGAAATGAAGACGGCATTTAACCCTTTGTGACCTGAGGCAACCCGGTGGCTGTCTGAAAAACACAATGAACACGTTATCACGAACTACATTTCCGGTGGATTAAAGAGGATGCATATAAACCAAGGACCTCGGGAAAAGACGGAGTACGACTTAAATCCCAGAGACCATCCGGGGAAGGATCCGTATACACAACCCTGCACAAGTCAGAAACCTTCATAGACAGAGTCAAAGAGTCTCCGAGTTCTCGAGACTAGGAAACCGTCTTTGCAGCGTACCATAGAGACAGAGCTAGTGCCCTTCATATCTAAAGAGCTCCTACAAATCAACAAGAAAAAGACCATCAACGCCATTTTTAAAATGGGTGTGAACATGGACGGGGCACAGAAAAAACAAGTGCTTGTTAACCATTCAAGAACGGGTTCGGCCCACCAGCAGGAAGGGAAATGCAAGGGAACTTGACTGGGAAGAAATGACAGCGAGAACAGATACACATGATTGCTGACAGAATGCCCATCAGTACCACCTGTCTAGAGAGGACTTTGACAATACTTATTAAAATTAAAAGTGCCTGCGTCATTCTGGGAAGTCTTCTCACAGATATGTTGCACATATGTAACATGATGCGTTTTTTTTTTAATTGATTTTGGAGAGAGAAACATCAACTTGTTGTTCCACTTACTGATGGATTCATTGGTAGATTTTTGTATGTGCCCTGACTGGGGATCGAACCTGCAACCCTGGCGCATCGGGACGATGCTCTAACCAACTGAGCTGCCTGGCCAGGGCACATGATGCATTTTTCAAGACCCTTCGTTGCATCATTGCTTGTAAAAGCAAAAAGAAAAGAGGAAGCAAAGTTAACGTTCGCCCATAGAGAATGGGTAAATAAATTATTGTGCAACCGTAGCGTGCGGTTGTGTGCAGCTGTGCAACAGAATGCGAAAGCACCCGTGTACCCACGTGGTCACAGAGCAGTTAAGTGAGAGAGTAAGGGACAGTGTGGCTGGCTGTGCCTTAGCCCTGCCAGGATCCCTCAGAGACTGGTCACTGCGGTTTTCCCACGGCGGGGCTGGCGTTTCACGGTATCTGGTTCTACATTCTGAATCCTGTGCCTTATACATGTATTATCTAATAAAAAAAAGTCATCTTTGAAGAAGGAAAGGAGGTTAGGGTGGGAAGGAGGATCTCGCCTTCGCTGTGCATTTTCGCACGGGCTATTTTAGGCTCTCCCCTCTGCAACCCCGGAGAGGTGACCGTTTCCATAGGCCAAGAGAAGGAAGGTCTGAAGTCTAGAACTTGCCCACGTTCATGGAGAGATCCCTGGAACCTGGCTTTGGAGATCCGTGTTTTCTTGCTTCCTTCTTTTATCTCGAGCTGCCACGTCATGGGTTAAGGGCCAATGGTTGCCCACCTCCGCCTAGGCCCGCCCCCTCCCTGGGAAGTGAGTGTCAAGTTCCATCTCCCTTCACCAGCTGGGTTGCTGGCTCACTGAGCACCTATAGGGCGCTGCTGCTCGGGCGGCAGGTGGGGCCCCCAGCCCGGAGCCCAGGCAGCCACATCAGACACACCGAGGAGGATTAGGGATGGGCTTTGAGTCCTGCATTTGAAGTTCCCAGCTTTTATCAGAGTGTCTGAACCTTCACATTTTTTTTTTCAAGGGCACTTTCATTACTGTCTGTGAACTGGCCTCAGGTGGGTGCCAGGTGCGGAGGGGGGCAGCCCGTCCTGGTGCCTTCACTTCGTGTTATGGTGAACTTCTCGGGGCTCAAGGCACTGGGTACTTGCAAGAGTCTGGAAGAATGACTTTTGCTGTTTTTCTGTCCCCCACCTGCAATCAGATGGCATCTCTTTCATGGAAAGGAGGGAGAGGTGGGGGTTTTTGGGGGGAGGTATTTTTGTTGACTTGTCTCACAAGAACACCTGTGCTTTTTTCAAAGCAGGGTCTTAGCTACTTCCTGTTTGCCGAAGCTGAACACTGTATGGGGAGCACAGCTCTCCATATAGAATACGAGGCTGTATATAATGTATAGGTTACAGCGTCACCCGGGGGGGAGAATCTGATGTCCTTAAGAGACAGAATGTCATCCAGCAGCACCTGTCCTCATGCGCAGTGTCAT